TAAATATATATATATATATATATACATATGAGGATTTAGGGCTTTCTTAGACTTTTTCCTCACTTTATGCGATTGTGACCCTTCTAAGTTCTTGGAGCAGAAATCGGCTTTCGCCACTAACAAATTCTTCCAGCTTCAGCAAACTCCGTTCCCTTCGGTAATTTCACCCTTTAATCATACTTTTCTTTCTTTTTATTGCTACCTCAATATACCCTTGTGCGAACGTTACTCTGGAATCTGCTGGCGTCGGGGTGATTCCCGAGATGGCGAGATGGTGGTTCACTCACCGTCATTAGCAACTGCGTCGATGTTCGGTGTTGCTGGAAAAATGGTGACGGCGCCGACATTGGGGGTGAGGATGGTGGAATGGGTGGTGGAGAAGGCCACTAAGCTGGAGGAGGGCTCAACGTCTGAGTTGAATGTGAGGGGTGTGAGCGGAGCCAGCGACCTTGACTTGAACGAGCCTCTTAATTTGGGCAGTGATGATGAAGTGGAGACATGTTTTGGTGGAGGAGACCCTTCGAGGAGATACTAATGGCAGTGAATGAGTCCCTTTGGTCCGGGATGACCATGAGACTGATCAGATGCTTAAGGAGGCTACAGGTACCCAACGGCTGTTAGCACCGACATACTTGTGTATGGACGGACCCTAGTATATTGAAGGTGTGTAATACGCCTTCAATATTGGACGAGGCTGATCTTGTCATTCTGAGAGGTAAGGCTCAATTCGGGTTGAAAATGCGCATTTTCGTGCCTTATCCAGGAGAGAATATATTGTCCACTGTCGGGTTGCGTTGGCGTCTACCGAAAAAGTGTGTTGATAGGGTCTTCGATTTTTTTTGTCTGACTCGCTTGCGGGAATTCTTCAGGACATGAATGTCGGCACTGGCCAACTCACACCATCTTCCGTGTCCAAAATCATTTGTCTGATGGCCATGTTTAGGAAGAATGGATGGTCGGATCCTACCGACGAGAAAGTTCGGGCCTTATTTGCTTTGAAGGAAACGGAGAAAGAGTACAGTATTTACTATTGTTCAGTCTATTCTGGGGTAGATAAGGAACTGATTCTCCATCTACCTAATACCGTCAATGGGTTTCAACCGGAGTGGTTCTAGGTCGGAGGCCATTGGTTGGCCGATTGATCCTTGGGCGTGCCGATCGAATTTTTGACTGCCTCATGTACGTCCTTGTTTCTTGTTTTTTGGCTTCTAACGATGCCTTTTTTTTCTGCTAACATGTCGGTGTTTTCTTTGCAGTGAAGAAAGATATCCCTGTTATGAGCTATGAACTTGCGCGCCAAGTCAATCTCCTAATGCTTCTTCCAGAGGAGAATCATGACTATTCGGTGTTTACCAAGTAAGAGTGTCTCCTGAAGGACAATATGTCCCCCAAACTTGTTAATTCTTACTTTGAGCCATGTGTTTCTTCGTTTTTTATTGCCCGTGTTCTCATTCCTCATTGTTAACATATATGCGTCTGATGCTCTCCCTCTGTAGTTTACTATCTGCTCACTCGGTCTCGCGGATTTGCCTACAGTTTGTCCATAAAAGTCCGAACTCACTGCCAAAGAGAAAGAAAGAGATGAGTGGATTGCGCAACTTCTTTATGGGGCATAGATTGGTTGATTCGAGTAGAAGCCGACCTCCCCCTCGCAAGCCGACAAGAATGAGCTAACACCTTCTCACGGTGACCGGTCAATAAACTGGATTGACGCGGGTCGACTCGAGGAGCGTGGAGTTATCATCCCTCTCCCTTATCGGTCCGAGAAGAGATCGACCCATTCTAATTCTGAGGCTGAAATTGAGGATCGGTTGGTGAGGAAGAGGAAAAAGGTCTTCTGGGGGAAAGAAGGCGGTTCCTGCGGTGGCTTAGAGGAGCAAAGCAAACTTTTGAAGGAGTTTAAGGCCCACATTCATCGTGGCACATGGTCCATGGATATTGGGTACTTAGCCGATTTTCTGAGAGGTGGTTCATCAGCTTAAAGACGTCCAGGTCTACGAAGATTCTAAACAAGTTTCACTTTCCGAGTCAAGTCCTTGAGGCGACCAAGATTTCGATGCTCAGCTGAGACCTAGGCACAGAACTATCGTAGGGATTGGTAGTCTACTCAGTAGGTAGAGTACGCCACATGTTCCATTGCTCGAGGCCTGGTCAGACTGGTTCATGCTCATGAAGGGACTTCGACCCCCTGATTTAGCTACCATGATATCCCGAACCTGTTTCCGGACGATTTTGCGAGGGAGCAGGACCAGCTGACCTTGTTTAACCTTGTTTGGGTTATTCAACGACTGAGTCACAAGTTGCTCAACGTCGGGAACTTTCATGAGATCCTCCGCCGCAAGTTTGCGAGGCTTCAGGTGTTGGATTGGGACGAGCTATCTGTGATCAAGTTGACGACGAGAAGTCCGACCTTATTCGAGACAGTGAGGGCTTGCCAACCGATGCAATTTCTCGCTCGGAGGGGTATCCCGTCATCACCCGGGACACCAAGTTGTCGAGCTTGGATGCAGTGATACCTGACTATCATCCTTATCGGCTAGTGGCGGGGACAGAGGAGCTAGAGGCTATCGACCTTTTTTATGGCGCCGACAAAGTGGTTGGGTCCTCTAAGGTTGCCGAAGCGAGTATTTGACCACGAGGCTGGAGGGTCTGCCAATGGTGGTAAGCATGAGATTAGAATTGAGGTGCTGCTAAAACCGATATGAACACTCATGCAGATGATGTCAACCCGGAGGTCCCTGTTTAAGCTCCTTTGGATTTGTATAAACTGACTTTTGGCCGGACCTGCGTGCCCTGGATTTGAAGTGACCCGATGTGGTCGAATAATATTTTTACTGTTTTTGTTTTGAAAGTTTGTTTATGAATTATGACTTTGTTTTACTTTAGCTTATTTTGGCTATCTGCCACGAGTTTTCACAAATTTTTTTCAAAACTTACCTAGTGTTTTTCAAAAACCGACCTTGGTTGGTCGGGCCACTTGGTTTTAGTTGTAACCTGATCAAGTTATTTTTTGAAATGTTTTGTATAAGCTGAGTACAATCAAGTTATTTTGACTCTTGTAATCGACGCTTCACCGCCTCACCGAACAACTTGTCTTGCTCGGTTTGCGTGCCTTATTTTGTTGATATAATATTTACCAAGTGTTTTTTATGAATCTGTATTGGTAAAATATTTATTTTTTTAGTAACATCTGCATGTGCACAAGATTAATACTAATATAAAATTAATAAAGTATTTTTTAATATAACGCGATATTATTTTTATAATGAAGTATATCATTAATATATAAAATTAATTATTTAATTTTAATAATATAATTCACCTCAAATCACCCTCCATAGCCAAAAAGTCCAAAGCATTTCGAGGGAATAATAAATACCGAGTAAAACTCGAAATCACATCACATAAAGTTTTTGCCACAAAGCAACTTTCCCAAAATCCAGAAAAAATATTAATAAAGCCCAAAATAGCTCACCGGTCAGCCACCGCTGCGCATTTTAGCGCCAACAGGGTGAAGGCAGCTAACATGAGCATCCGCCGTCGTCAGATACCCATCTCCTCCGTGCGACAAAATCTTTTTAATACCCCAAAAAGTCAGTAATTCCCATTTTAACCCACACAACTTTTCTCTTTCGTTCGTCAGTCTCCGATTTTCCGTTAAATAATAGCACCGAGTGTGTGTGTGTGTGTGTGTGTGATAAATTTATTCTTTCAATTCTAATGTCAATCAATCATATATATAAATAATATTTATTCTCTCTCTAAAATAAGGATATCCATCGCATTTGAGAAGAAGGGAGCAGCTGAAATGGTGTCGACGAGGCGAAGTGGATCTCTGCCGTCGAGTAACAGTAAGAGATCGTCTTCGCCGTCCGATGATAATCAGAACAAGCCGTCTTCTCCCAAGCGTCAAAAGGCACTCTCTTTCTCGCACGGATGAGGAGCTGTTGCCCTCTGTATTTGCTGGATTGCTTAATCCGCGCCGTTGATTGATTTCTCAGCGCTCTTGTTTTGATTTTTTTTTTTTTTTCCGGCAGGGTGAGAGCTGTAATACCAGTGCTAATAGTAAGAAATCTAAGGCGTTGGAGCCTCAGACGGCGGAGAATCCCAAGGAATTATGCTCAGTTGATCCGCCGGAGCTCCCTGCCGCGGCGGCCACCCCCTCCGCCTCCCTTGCTACTCCGGCCGCTGCAGAAGGTTGGTTGTGTGATGATCTGTTGAATGTTCTGGCAAATTTGGTCTTTTATCGCATGTGCATGTTCTGAAACGCTGAGAATTGGGGAAAATTTTGAAAATTCAGGAGGTGCGGCAGCTAATGTGGATAAGCCGAAGACCTCGTTAGCTTCCTGGAAACAGCACCAAGGTTTCGAGACGACCTCGCCCTGGTGCAGGCTTCTCGCAGAGTCCACGCAGGTATTTTCTTGTTCTTCTGCGTCTTAGTATGTGTGCTGGACTTGTATTCTCATTATTGTTCAATGCTTTGATTGGTGCTGGATTGCAGTTAGTTTTGCACTTATATTAATTAAAGAGAGTGATTCAGTCAATGCAAGTTTTCTGTTTGCAGAACCCCACTGTTTCTGTGTACACAACCAATTTCTTGGTGGGGGCAAGCAAACATGCCAATCTCTTGATCCGGGATCAGACGGTCAGTGCAATTCTGTGTTCCATAAGGCTTTCACAGGTAAAAAAATGTTTTCTTTATGAGTTAATATTCGTGCTACATGTTCTGTTTCATTTCTTCCCATGCAGTTGACTTGATTGGTTCACAATAGATGATGTGGACCAGTCTTATGGATTTAGTTTGTGGTATAAGAAAGGAGATTGATGACGATGCCGAAAGTCTAGTTCCGTCAACTAACGACTCCATGAATGCGAGACCATCTCAAAAAGTTTTATATTGAATTGATGACGTTATATGCAAATATCACATATAACTAATGTTATTTTTTTGAACCAATGTTGTTAATTTTGTCGCTTTTCGCCTATGTATATGATAATGACAATGAGTATTTAGAGCTTGCACGTCATGTATTGCCTGCAAAATATTATTTCCAATTCTAACTTTTTTCTTCATATTCCTATTTCTATTATTATTCTTGTCGTTAATGATCAGCGCGACGACAAACCTGTTGCGGTACTTGAAATTCGGGGAAGCAAAGGATGTGTGCAAGTCAACGGGAGAACAATTAAGAAGAACACTAGTTGCAATCTCAATTCTGGGGATGAAGTGGTTTTCGGATTTCTTGGAAGTCATGCATATGTATCCTTTTATTTCTGTTCTATTCTTTGAATTCTTTCTATCTTTGTTCAATTCTTCCATTACTTTATGTAGAACTGTAGATTGTCCTTAATCCCCGTCATACAGATTTTCCAGCAGTTGCCTTATGACAGTATAATAAAAACCCCTCCACCAGATATTCAAACTAATGCTGGGAAGTTGGTTCAAGTTGAAAGACGGGCAGGGGATGCTTCAGCCGTTGCGGGTGCTTCAATTTTGGCATCACTTTCTAATCTGCGACAAGATTTATCTCGACTTAAGCCTACATCACTGACCAGCGGTAAAAATTACCGAGGGAGTGATCTTCCTTCCTCTCCCCTAATTAATGAAGATGATCTTGATGGTCAAGAAGTTAATTCAGCTACAAATTTAGGTGCTGAAGCAGCTGGAGATGTAGGGGGAGCTACCAGCAAGATCCTTCCTCTTGATGGCAATGTAGAAGCTGGCTTAGAGGCAAGTAATGTAAACTGCTAGTGGACTAGAAACTTTTAACTTCGATATTTCATGACTTATTTTCTTGTATATAAAGAGTAAGAAAATATCTCATGTAAACAGGATGAGAGAGATTGGCTTAAGGATTTGGCCCCGGTATCTTTATCAGTTATGTGTTCACGAACTAAAGCGTTTAGAGAAGGCATACTTGCAGCTATTCTCGATGGCCAGGACCTGGAGGTTTCATTCGATAATTTCCCATACTATTTGAGGTATGATTACGTTGTTCCGTATATATTCAAATTGTTTTTTTTTTCTTCAAAGAGATGTCGTCCTTTTCCACAAAATTCTTTGGTTTCTCTCTTGATATCCTAATTCCTCAAGGTCTTTTTAATACCTGTACTTAACTTGCAGTGAGAGCACAAAAAGTGTGCTAGTTGCAGCTTCCTACATACAACTGAGGCACCGAGATCACGTTAAATTTACTTCTGAGCTTCCGACATTGAATCCAAGAATTTTACTTTCTGGTCCCGCAGGTAACTGGTTACAAGTTAATATTTTCTCTAAGCACTCAACTGTTTTAATGTTTGTTTGTGATATTAGCAGCACTGTTTCCTCATGATGTCCTCGCTTATTATGTGGCTGGTTTTCTTTTTCAGGGTCTGATATTTATCAGGAGATGTTGGTAAAGGCGCTTGCTCATTACTTTGGGGCGAAATTGCTCATATTCGACACCAATTCATTTCTGGGAGTAAGAAAAGATCATATAATGTTTCGTCCGAAGTTGTTGGTGCACAAATATATATATATATATATACACACACACACACACACATTTATCTCTATGTTTCCTATGAAATAGAAATAAAAGAAAATAGCTTATGCTACTTGACAAGGTCTTGCAAGCCAAAAACCTTTTGGTTTTACTTGTTTATGTATTGATGAAATTCTTGATGTATATATTATACATTAAGTTTAAAAGGTGAAAAGCATAAGTGTGAAGAGTGACAACTTTTTACGGTTAATAATGAACATGTTGTATGATATGGATAGAGGGACACTTTGCTTCTGCTACTGAGTCTTATTTTGTCTCTGAGATCTATTTCTAATCATCGCACTAGAGGTTTGAGTTGCAATTTATTGATAATGCTTGTGTATTAGGGTACTTCAAAGGATGCTGAGCTGAAAGAGGGGAACAATGCAGAAAAGGTGTGTAGCACTAGCAAACATATTTCTGGGTCCCCAGATACTGCCAAGGACATTGGCCATTCATCTGGTGAAGTAGATGCCTCTAATTTGCTGAGTAATCCCCTTGGTTTAGAATTGCGGACGAGAATTGAAACTGACAACGTGCCTTCTTCATTTAATGCAACCAAGAGCAATTCTTTTAAATTGGGTAAGTAGTTTGTTTCATGCAGTTAAATGTTTGATCAGCTCATTTAGAATAATTGTGATTCTTCTTCGTTGTAGTCCCAATGCCTTAATAATAGTATCTAATGTATTCCCATTATACATTACTGAATTTGTAAGTTTGTATTATTTTATAAAAAGCATGACATGTTACATATAATAGTATTAGGCACAAATAATATGCTATCATTCAATTTTATAATCTATATGTCACAGAATAATCTGTAATCATAAAACATATATTATATAAACTATTTTAGAATAGTAATTACATATAATTTTATGATTTAGATATTCAAACATTATCTGAGTCACATGTATCAGTATTTATTTTCATATTTGTAAGTGATTTGAATTCTTCCAAATTTAAATCTTTATAATTGAATCCAAGTCCATTCTGTATAAATTTCTTATACAATATTGCAGGTGATAGAGTCAAATTCGTTGGTCCAGCCTCTTGTAGTTTATACTCTAGTTCCACCAGGTGATTATGACATTCATCATTTTTTTTTTCACATGATCTCTATGTTGGAAAATTTTGATACTTGTTATATTTTCTTTAATTTTACGATAAATTTCTGTGTTTATGATACTCTTTTGGTTTGAGATCTTTATATGATAATCTACATTGAGCTCTACATAGTTTGGGCTTCATTCTGCGTTTACATTATTTCAAAATTATGGAGGAAACAAGTAAATTGGGTATCTTGAGATTGGATATATATTATTTTGGAAAAGAAATTGTTTGATTTAATAAAGTGAGTTAGAGAGTGGAAAAGATTTTTTGGGTGAAAGAATTAATTAATTTTGAGTTTGTGAATGGATATGAGATAAACGAGTAAAGTTGATGTGAAATAAAATTAGTAAAATAATGATTGTAAATCATTGGTTAAAAAATGTGAGTTGATGATAGTGAATTTCTAGGAAAAATTTGTATCCAATCTCTTGACTCTTGAAAAAGAAAAGGAATCCAGCGAGACAACTAAACCTGCTATTATTTGTCTTTTTGGAGTTTGACCTTAGTTTGGACATTATGCCATTTCTACCTTTGTAAAGAATTTAGAGGAATCCAGGGTGCCTGCAAGTTTTATGTCTTTTGCGGGTTTAGCCTGTAAACCTTCTATCTAATATTGATCCCTATCTTTGTACTTTGCTCATCTCAAGACCTATGTACCGGCGATTGATGGTGTATGTAGTTAACTGTCCTTTCCGTATTGTAAAATTCTTAGTTATACTGTATGTATCTTGCATGAAATCTTTTCTCTAGGAAATATGGTTGCTTTTACCTAGCTTTCTTGGAACTATGTGCCATGCCTAATCTTGCAAGCTGAATTTGAAAACTTACATAAGGTGCTATCCTTCAATTCTTCAATTACATCCACTTGGTACAATGGCAGCCACAATCTACTGCCGATCTTGTCTTGGTGCGACACTCATCTATATAAGTGGTTCATTTAATTTATTATGAGCACATAGTGTGAAATATGATTTCCTCTAATATTTTTAGTTGTTGATGCTGTAAGATATGAAGTAGAAAACTACAGAGATCTATTTGTATGAAATTGGGAATCCAAAGGGAAACTATGGGCTGGAAATTTAACTTAAATATTTGTGATGTTTGTACACTATTAGAAAAAACTTGTTTGATGGTGGAATCAGCGCTTTTTGCTTTTGATGAATACTTCCATTTTTAAATCATTGTGATCTTATTTTTTCTATCCAGATGTGATCCGATCATATTTGTTATTTATGATCTAGAATGTATAAGCACCTTCAGAGAACGGGACTGCATTTCGGCCTTCTCTAATTTGAAAATTTGATCTTAGTAGCGTGTGTGCGTGAATATTTCAAGATGCTGAGTTTTTGTGAAATGTGACCAACTTAACGGCTATCTAGCTGGAACTTCAGGGGCCCAACTCCTGGAATGCGGGGGAAGGTTCTTTTGCCATTTGAAGATAATCCTCTTTCGAAAATTGGTGTAAAATTTGACAAACCTATGCAAGATGGGCTTGATTTTGGAGGTCTTTGTGACAATGGACATGGATTCTTTTGCAATGGTGATATGCCATTTCACTAAAATTTTACTCTTCTCATTTATTGCCTTATAGTTCTTTATCATACCTCTCTCTCATTCATTTTATATCTGAATCCGTCTTTAGCCAATGAGCTACGCGTGGACACTTCAGGTGTGGAGGATTTGGACAAGTTACTTATTAACACAATGTTTGAGGTGGGATCTTATACTAATAGAATGGGTTTAGACTGATACGTATCTCAGGTTTATCTTATACTAATACCAGTTTCTCTCTGCATCACCAGACTGTGTTTGATGTGAGCCAAGAATCCCCTTTCATTTTGTTTATGAAAGATGCTGAGAAGTCCATGGCAGGAAACTCTGAATCATATGCTGTATTTAAGACCAAGCTGGAGAAGCTTCCTAACAATGTTGTAATTATTGGTTCACAGACTCAAACTGACAACCGTAAAGAAAAGGTAGTTGCTAACCGTATCTTTGAGACATGCACTTCACTTTGAGAATTTTGTTATGTTACTCCTAATTAAGTAATTTGCTGTACCACGGTTGAATAAGTTGCTTTAGATCTCTATATGAAAAAGTAATCACAACGATATCAGATTTTCTCAATCACTAGTTGTTTTCTCATGCAGTCTCATCCTGGTGGTTTGCTTTTCACGAAATTTGGGAGCAACCAGACTGCTTTGCTTGACCTGGCTTTTCCTGTAAGAATTGATGAACTTGCATTTTTGATTGTATGTTCACTTCGTTGGCATTCATATTTGAAGTGAACTTTGGTTTAGCCACGAATATCTATTGGGTGTTGTAGCATGCGTTGGCATTTTTTCACAAAACCCATTTATTCAATATATTGGAAAACTATCCATCACTATGCAGCATTGCTCTTTGCCAACTTCCATCCATTTTCCGGTGACGCTAAACTTGTGGGTTGACATTTGCTTCTGATTTCAAACATTGTAGTGATGAGTGGCAGGGGTAACACTATATGGCCTACAAACTTATCTGCTCAATTAATTGCTTCATGCTGCCACTTATTTCTCTTTCATGTACATTTTGACTTCCAGCCATAAGCCATTAAAAGTTCATGACAAACCACTGATATCCAAATAAGTGTTTTATATATATTGAAAAGGAGGAATATCCATTAATATCTAATGCATAATTTCAGAAAGGGCCCACAACAATACACAGGCATACCTACCTATTTATAAAATAGTATCCAGAAAGAACTTAAAAGCACGTCCACAGAATTTTCTTTGGAAATAAAGCCATGATATTCTTTTTCTGAAGACTTCCTTTTAACCCCCAGTTGAAAAGATGGTCATGAAACCAGGCTTCAGGATTCTTAGTTGGCCCGTGATGATAACCGGCCTAGATAATTTAAACCTTGTGCTGTAGTGGACACTCAACGTATTATGTCTCCAACATGCAGCAACCTATACTTATTTATTTCCGATTCAAACTTGTAATACAGTATACAAATGATAATAAACAATAAATCACTCTGCAGACCAAGCTGTGATTTTTTTTTTTTTTTTCGTCAAACCAACAGCTACTTTGTTTTTATTGAACCGCTAATAGTGGGATAAAATATTTTGCTTACCACCTGTGAAATTATTCAGTAGAATACCACTTTCAAATTCACTACTCATTTTCTGTTATACATGTTGTGTGCCTTCTGTCTTTTTCTACTCTGTCGAACGTTCAATATAGAAATGGCATATAGTAAATTTTGATTTTGTTCCATCTCTGGCTAGTTTTGGGGGTTAATTTGATTTATTATTGATAATCAGGATAGTTTTGGGAGGTTGCATGACAGGGCTAAGGATATTACTAAGGCAAACAAGCTCTTATCCAAACTTTTCCCAAATAAAGTGACAATTCACTTGCCTCAGGTTTGTTCAAGATTTCCACACAGATTACATTAGTTTGCATTATTAACTGTGATATGATGCTTATAGACATATTGCAGGACGAGACCCTTCTAGTCAGTTGGAAGCAGCAATTGGAACGAGATGCTGAAACTCTAAAACTGAAAGCAAATCTGAATAATTTACGGACTGTGAGATCCTTTTATTCATAGAATTATGGTTGTATTGTTTATTCCTTTGTCATCCAGGATAGGGTTATAGTACATACAATATCAATGGTATTAAAAAATTATACTTGGCATGAATCATCTTATTTATTAATGAACAAATTTATCCATCTATTTGGTAGTGTGGAGCTGAGTTAATAAAATGGTTATTTATATGATTTAGTATTTCTTGATATTAATGCAGTAGAAATTTATATTTCTGCTTGATAAGTTCAAATGTTCACGACTTCATGGAACTTTGCTACTGGAACCTAATTTAACCTGAATGCATACATCCTTTATCCAACAATCATTAGTATCCAGATAACCTTTCAAAAAATTTCTTGCTGCAATAGTTTTTGTTTCACTAGTCTATCGGTATTTCTTCGTAAGTTCTATACCTGTATATTGTAAGGAACTTGATATTCGTGTGTTACCGGCACTGCTTTAGACATATTGTGTCATTTCTTACATACAGGTTCTCAATCGTAACGGGTTGGAGTGTGATGGACTTGAAACGTTGAACATTAAAGACCAAGCACTAACAAATGAGAGTAAGCTTATCCTTGTCCTCTCCCCTTATAGAATGGAAGATTAATCATCTTTTCCCTGCTCCCTTTATGCGATTAACTATATTATCTTCTCACCAGAGCATTTATCTTCCAATTTTGAGCAACACCCCTTTATGCGAGTAACTATATAATCTTCTCACCAGAGCATTTATCTTCCAATGTTGAGCAACACCTGTGGGCTGAACATATACTTTTTATAATTTTTTGAAGGTGCGGAAAAGGTGGTTGGATGGGCTTTAAGCCATCATTTGATGACAGATCCTGAAGCTGAAGCTGAAACAGATACCAGGCTTGTGTTGTCTAGGGAGAGGTAATAATAAGTTGCCACCTATTTGCTGGATTGTTCAATATAACATACTCATTTCAATTTCATCCTGCATCAGCATTCAATATGGAATTGGCATTCTACATTCCATCCAAAATGACTCCAAGAGTTCAAAGAAGTCCCTCAAGGTGATACGTCCTGCCCGACCTTGACATGAGTATCATATATTCAGTAATTGTTGCTCATTGATTACAGAAAAAATAAATATCATACGTATTATATTACATTTTGTTGCTTGCCCAGGATGTCGTGACTGAGAATGAATTTGAGAAGAGGCTTCTGGCTGATGTGATCCCTCCCAATGATATTGGTGTGACATTTGATGATATAGGAGCACTCGAGAATGTCAAAGATACCTTGAAGGAGTTGGTGATGCTTCCTTTACAGCGTCCAGAACTTTTCTGCAAGGGGCAACTGACAAAGGTTTATATTATTATTT